AGAGAGAGAGAGAGGAGAGAGAGAGAGAGAGAGAGAGAGAGAGAGAGAACTCTGGACACGTGGCAGTGACGACGAGCTGGGAAACGGGTAGCGACGACGGGCAGCGGCGGCGGGCAGTGACGACGGGCATTGACGACGGGCACCTCGGCGAAGGCGGGCAGCGACGGGAAACTCTTCGGCGGGCAGCGACGAGACCACTTCGACGGGCAGCACGAACTCGACGTTCGAATTCGAAGGCCGCCCGAACGAGTGTGCAGTCGGCGGAGGAATTTGTGCGGGGGGGCGTGGAGGCTCCCAAGCGCGAAAAAACATCGAAAAAGGCCTCCCCACCCCCCCGCGCAAAAATGCGCTGGGCCTGCCCGGCGTCAAACCGGGGGACCCAACCGGCCGGGCCGCCCGGGACCCCTGCCGGACGGTGGCTGGGCCGCCGGGCGGCCCGGAGTTTAACACAGCATTATAGTTGAATTTGGGGTATCTTTCAGTCTAAATACAGCTATAATGACCGTACGTTGTATTCGGGGGAAGCTGGTAGGGTCGTAGCTTTTGGTCGAGAAACAGGGGTCAACAGTCGCGTCTCAAGCCCAAGAAGGACCTCCCAAAGTCCATTGGTCAGTCAGTAGTTACCGGGTTAAGAGTCCCATAAGGCAAGGCGTGCCCCTGAGAACTGTTTGCTGACCACCTCAGGAGAAATAAAAAAAAGAGTCAGGCAGGCTGTACCCAAGAGAGCCTAGCTCAGTGGGTACACCCATGAACTGTTGAAAATTTGAAATACAGACTCGAGTTCGAATCCCGATGAAGGTTGGCATTTCCCTGGGGGCGGTCAGCTCAATGATGATATATCTCAAGGCCATCGCCCTTTAAAAGAAAGAAAGAAAGAAAAGGAGGAAAGAAAGGGGGAAAGAAAAGAAAATAAAAGAAAAGAGAGTCAGGCTGTTCCGAGATGACGCTGTAGGAGACAGGGAAGGCTGGGGCAGAAGGGAGAAGTACAGCGCAAGCAGGGAGAGAGTAGCCATAGCTAGAGCAGGGCACCTAGCGCCATAGCCTGTAGGATAGGGAGGTCGTGAGGTTGAGGGTAATCAAGACCTTTGTGCGTTGAGAGAGGTGGGAGGCTTAAGTCACCTACCGGGCACAGTGGTGTTGATGAAACCCTGGCGTTCCTCGTGCGACTGGCGGTTCTGGCTTGAGCACCAACCTCCATGGGACTCATCTTCCTCGTGCTGGAGGTTGGGCTGGACTATCGATGGGAGGCTGCTGCAAGAGACTTCATCAGAAACATCAGTAGAGGGTTAGGTTGAATTGCTGAGGTGGCAAGTCTGGGAGGAAAGACCTGGTGGATACAGGGGGATTGGAAGAGGCGGAAACAATGTAATCGTTGATTATTAATTCATTATTGAATCTTGGTGCTTTTTCCCCTCCTCTATTTCGTCTCCTTGCCTTGTTTGTGTTCTGGTCATTCACTTCTTCCACTTGAATCTACAGAGGATGTGTGATGAAGACATGCATGCTGATGACATCGTGAGCTTGTCATAACTGTGTTCATTACAAACTGCCCTTTTTGCACCACAGATACAATTGTGTCCTCACTCCTCAGTCAATACTCAAAGTGCTTGTTCAATTTGAGGACCATGAGACTTGATGGCCACTGGTCCACCCTGATCGCTCTACTTTTTGAAATTCACGGCTGTTGGTTATTCCTGATTGGTCTGCAATGTGTGTGTGTTTACGACTTTACAAGAGATTAGACGGCCATCTATTTCTTGTTGCATACCAACCAGGATACTTTGCTGCACCACAATGACAATGGGACTAATGGAATAGGATAGGCAAATCGTTGGTGACCTTCACTGTTCTCTCTTGAGTGTGAAATGTGTGTGCAGCATTAGGATCGTGTGGACTTTCTGTAATTGAGTCAATTGACTGCTTGCGAATAATAATATGGGTTGTCGTTCTTGTGTCACACATTCCTTACTGTGATCCTGTGTGAGGTAACTCAGACAGAAGAGGATGGGAGGATGTTTCCTGTGAGCAACAGCTCATCGACCATCGTGGACTGTCTTCTGAATGAGGCCGCTCGTCTTCAAGGTTAGTGTGAGTTTGGAAGCCTGAGTCTTTCTGTTCCTGCTTGTCTCTTCAAGTACATCTCCCTCTTCGTCATCTTCTTTCTGTTTTCTTGCTCTTGCTTGTGTCGCACATCTCAGTCGCCTGTCCCCCTGAAGATGGCCAGCTGCCTGCGCCAACTGAAACGCGGCGTTCAGGATTGCCAGCAGGCGTGACAGAGTTTTTCGCGTGCTATTTCATCCGCGCCTAGCGTGCTGCGCATTCAAGTCTGTTGACTGCAATACCTCAGCAGCTTGGAGATACACATGGCTCTGCAAGCATGTGTGTTTCCACTTGCGGTGTTCCTCATCGAGGGACTTGAGTGGTGTCAATGTTTTTACATGGGCGATCATTGCTTTGTAAATTCTGCTCGTTCTTCGTCGTTTGAGTCAGCGCTGGTTTATGAGGGCATAATTTGCTTTGGATTTGCATTTCTTCTTCTTCACGGTCTCCTTGCACTCCCCGTTTCTTTGTCTTTTCTCTCTATCCTTCCTCTTTTCTTCCTGTACTTCTGCATCTCACAGCAGGATGCCAGCAGAATATTTACATGTGTAATGACCCGTCAAAACACAGACTGAGAACACTGCTGATTTCTGAAGTTCTGCCGATGGAATGRATGCCTTGCTGAGATGCCCGCATTCTGCTGTGTTTCTAAGTCTGTCTGTGTGTGCGTGCTTGTGACCTGCATGCCTGTCTGAGTGCCTGTTGGTATGAGTGTGTGTGGGACCCGCAAGGGTACTTGCTTGTTTGGTAGTCCCGTAGGGCCGGTACTTACCTGTGGCCGTGGCATTGAGGGTTGTAGCAGGGAAAACACTCAAGTGGCGAAGCTAGCGGCCCTGAGGCCCTTGGGGTAGCGGAAAAACACTCAAGTAG